AAACTTGAAAACTGTGTTACCACCCTCAACCCCCATGATAGGGGTTTCCAATCTGTAGCCACCTTCACAGGGACCTACAGAGATGAGGACAGGCTTCCTCCTCATCTTTTTCCTTTCACTGCCACAATTTCACTGACTTCAAGAAAATAGGGAGCTGGTACCTGAACAAGAACCAATATCTGGACCAAGACTTCAGCACCTCAGCTCCTGATGATATGAGGCCATGTCACTCGTGAATTTGGCCCCAGTTGTCTACTCATTATTAGTAAAGCAGATGACAACTTGCCTTCCTTGCCTTCCCTCCTTCTCTGACTCCACTAACACACATACTGCCTTCCCTCTTGTTCTTTCCACACTTATACAAGAATGTCATCCTTCTCTGATTACTAGAAGAGACACCATCTCCTCTTGAGCTATGACCTTTCCATTTCTTTTCTGGGGAACAGCTTCATCCTTCTCTCTGTTCTCTCCACCTCTTTTTTGAAATAACCAATGTTCACCTCTGGAGTCCTGAAAACACCTGAAAATGGGGATGGGGGATGAGTGTCAAAAAAAAGCAACAGAGAGTAGGAATGGATTTTGTTATTTGCTAGCATTTATTTCTATATGTTTTACACAAATGTGTATTCCTTTTATTATTGGAAAATTATAAAATTATTTATTTTTAAAAGGCATGTCATAAACAATAATTCAAAGAATTATACATGCCATTCAAAGAAATCTTAATATCTTCTACATATTGTAACCTGAAAACAGCATAACTTACAAATATGCTAATATGCTATAACCATATAGCTTTATTTCTGGGATACAAAGATAGTTCACTGTTGGGAAGCCATTCCTTAAATTGTTCATTTTTCCACACATTTACTGAGCACTGTTTTTGATGCTGTGGTTACAGCAATGAATAAAGTTGACCTAAATCTCTAATCCCTAGCCCTTAATCCTGGTAAAAGAAACAATAAATTAACAAAATAAACAAAAATATAGCATATTGTTTGAGATAAGTACAAAAGAGTTTAAAAAAAAGGCAGGAAAAAACAAAGAGAGCATGACATGAAGTCAAGATGGGTTGAACTTTTAGAAAAAATGACCAGAGAAAGACTCACTAGAAAGGTCACCTATTAGATAAAGACCTAAAGTCAGTGAGGGATGTATGGTGATGACTAGGAGGAGGACATCTCAGGCAGGGGCATAAGCAAACCAAAGGTTCTGTGAAAGGAACATGTCCAGGATGTTCCAGAAACATCAAGGAAGGCAGGATGACTAGAGAAAGAGAGAAAGAGAGCAATAGATGATAAGACAGAAATGTAACAATGTTCAATAGGGCAAGGCCCTGTTAGTTGTAGTAAGTACTTTTGTATTTACTGTAAAAAATACAGGGAAAGGATGGAGAGTTTGTACAAAGGGCATTGTCTCTGGATGTGTTGAGAATAGACTATAGGGAGACAAAGGTGGTAAGGAAAGTGGTCTATATACATCATTCATTACATCAGCAAACTGATGGAGAAAAGGAAGCTTACAATCAAAATGTCTGATAAAATGTTAGCCATTCTTAACTTTTAAAAATACTATTAGTGAAATCGGAATAAAGAAACTTCATTTATCTAGTAAAGAATCATATGTAAATTTAGTGTTCCATTATTGGTTAGATTAAATTAGATTTAAAAAAAATCCAGCCCCAATAACGAATATGTTGGAAGCTCTCTGACCTGGAAAATTCATCACTCCCTGTGGGCTACCAAGACCACATAATTATGACTAGTCTCCACTCACTGATATTATTTCTGTACACTACATTTGTGTGATACCAGTAAATATAAGTGAAAATATCCTTGAAAAAAAGAAAATATCAGAAACAGCAAAAGTTCCACTAAATGATGAAAAAAATATGTATTCCCATTGATTTCTAGAACAAGATCAGGAGACTTGCAAGGAAGTCTTGGTCAAATGCAGAAAAGGAAAAAAGACAAATATTGGAAAGAAAGAAATGAAAAAAATCATTTTTGGGCAATTACATAAAGTATATACCTAAACAAATCAAAGGTATCACCTGAAAGCTATTGAAATTAGTAAGACCAATCACACACAATTGGTAAATTCAAAATAAATATCCAATATAACATTTTCTCTTAAATGAAAAATTTCCTATCAGAAAGTATAATTAGGAAAAGAAATAGTATTTCATCCTCAAAGACTACATTAAATACCTAAGAAAAACCTACCAAACAATATGAATTACTTAGCTAAATAAACTCCTGAAATTTGATTTACATAGTGAAGCAAAATGAAGTTAACATACTTAGAGAGAAAGTCTCAATTTTAAGGTGTTAATGTTCTTCAATTTAATCTGCTGATTTGCTGCAATTACAATACAAATTCCAATGCTTTTCTTTTTATTATTGTTGCTCAATTTGAAACTTGATTAATAAGTGTAAATGCATCTGCTAATATGTGCATAGAAGAAAATTGGAAATTGTTAGTAGTGGCAAGGAGTGGAAAAAATAGAACAAGTTTCTTTCCAAGTATATTTTATTTCCTTAATTTTTGTGGTGCTAGGGATTGGACCAAGGACCTTGCCCATGTCTTATCAGTGTTCTACCACTGAGCTACATCCCTAGCCTGTTTTGAATATTATTACCAAGACAAAAAAAAAAAACAACAAGATTCCTAATCTGGACTATTATATGTAACACAGACCCTTGAGGACATTGTCTTGGCTCTTATTATCTGCAGAAGGAGTCACTGACCCCTTGAGAAGCCCATGAAGTCAAGGACCTCTAATCCTACCCCCTGAAGTATGCTTAAGCATACATATAGTCACAAAACAAATCTTGCGAATACAATTTCAGGTGGTCTACAGAGTTGGCCAGGTGAGAATGCCTATTCTAGGCCAATCAGTGTGGTCAGTCAGGATTGTTGCTTGGGTCTGGCCATACATTTGACTAAGGGGACCCCAAGGTGAATATGGACTAGCAAGCAGTGACCTTGCAGCAAGGCTAGTCTCTTCATAAGTGTCCTGGAGTTAAGGAGGAGAGAAGCCCTAGAGGCTACACCTCTCAGGCCATGTAGTAGTAGCACATAGTGATAAAAACAGTATTTACAAGGGCACTATGAATAAAAACAGACAATAGGCAGGCCTGGGAGTTAGCCTCAGCAATCAGGTGTTCAGGCTGTGTGGAAATTCTCAGCTGCAGCAGCAGGTGGGAACAGCAATCTTTTCTATGCACAGTTAAGTTACCCCTAGAGGAATCTGAAGGATGGAGAGAAGGGGCCAAATGCATTTACTCAGGTCACCACCTTGGCTACGTATCCATGTATATTTTTGAAAAAAGTAACAGAGGAAAGTATCTGAATTCAGTGGACGAAAGGCTCTGAAATATGGGAGGGGATAGTAGAACAGTACCTTCCATCCATCTTGAAAGGGCAGGGAGGATTTGACTAGCTTTCACCCTTCACACCCTTAATTTCCTTCGATTCCCAGCTCATCCTTTTGCCCTGAGTTGAATCACTAAACTGGAATATAATCCAAGGACAGGTATTGAAAACTGTCATAGTTATAACCATCAAATTACAGAAGGTTCACACGGCAGTCAGGAATGGCTTGGTAATATTAAATAAATGTGTTTCTTTAACAGAACAAGACAGGGTCATTTATTTGTCCAACTTAGAGGGTTCCCCAGAAGGAGGAAAATTAATATATTATTTGTCCAAAATAAATAAGACTGGACAAATGAACACCTCTCCATGAATCAATTTACAGATCATATTGAAATATGCTTACTTTGTTGAGAAAAAAATCCATTTTTAGATGTTCAAACACCTTAGCGTGTTCTGAAAACACCACGTGGCCAATGGAATTCATTTTCTATGTGGTAAAAATTAACCAAAATTAATGGTGCCTTCCAATGAAGTGGGAAATCTTGTTTTGTTTACTTAGCAACACACGCTGTCCCTTTTTTGTTGCTGTTTCCCACACTGAATTCTTGTTTTATTGTAATTTTCAGTATAAAAATAAAGTGTGGTAATAGTTTTAAAAATAAAATAAGAATATTCCGAAGTATAGACCCCATTCCTATTTCTTGTTTCCTTTCTGATACTCTGTTCTTTATCTATAGGGGAGCATGAAACTGCAAGGGAAATGGGGCGGGGGGATAGGTAAAGGCTGGAAGATTGGAAATAGAGGGACAAGTATCCATAGCCCAGAAAAGAATGAAAAATTTCCTCCAACAAAAAGTATATATATATATATATATATATATATATATATATATATATATATACACACACACACACAATTGCTGTTCCAGAAGATGCATCCCCTCCACGGTAATCAGAGAAAAGCAAATTCTTACATGGAGAAAGGGCTACTTCTGTTCTGGCCTCCGGAACTACAAAGGCAAAGAATGAGTGACAGGACCTGATGTGGTGGGGTGAGATGAGAGTGGGGATAAAGGAGGGGGCTCACACTCTTGGTGGGAGTGGAAAGCGGGGAACCCAAGCTTACTGGAGATGCAGCCCCCACGTGACTAGGAGCTGACGTGGGCAAAGGTACTTAAAGCCCTGGCCGCCGACTCCCTGTCCTCCTCTGGGTACCAACTCTATTACGCTGCGCACTGCTGAGCATTTAACCCAGGCCAGGAGGAGGAGGAGAAGGAGGAGGAGGAGAAGGAGGCGGAGGAGGAGGAGGAGGAGGAGAAGGAGGAGAACATTTCCCCTGATCCCTGCAGGTGGGTGTGAGGGTGGGCATGTCCTGGGACCATTGAATAGGAGTAGCCTAGGGATGCGGGAATCTAAAGCCTCGCTTGCCTCTTCCTCGCCGCTTCAGGCCTGCTTTCAAGATTAGATCCTTGGCGCCTAGACGTAGCTTGTTTTGGTGGGTGGAGGGAAGAGAGGGTGGGAAAGAAAAAACCTTGATGGATTTTGAGAGGAATCCGCTTGCTTCCTCTTCCAGTCAATGCTTTGTTTTTGTTTTTATTTTATTTTTTGACACCCAGGCCCTGCACCCCACATCCTGTCCTGTTTTGAGAGGAGGAGGGAAGAGAAATAAACGTGGCAGCGCACACAAGGCCAGCGGGGAGGTTGGGAATGGGTGACCGCAGGGGCTGCAGTAGGGAAATAATCTGGACGTTTCACTCCCGCCCTTACTTTGCAGACATCCCCCACCCCTACCATCCCTGTCCTCCCCCTCCCCTCCCCTCCCCTCCCCGGCGAGCCCTCTGTCATTTGGGGGTACTGGGAAATGGGTGTGCCAGCCTCTGTGAAAGAGATGGCAGGTTTGGCGCTGTCTGAGCTTCATAGGAGGGGGGAACCCTGAAAACCACCGTTCTAATACCCAGACTGCTTTTACAGACACCTCCAGCTCGCAAGGCTTTTCACCCTCATCTTTTCAGTCCTGGAAAAGGAATTCGGGTATGCAGGAGGGAGAAATGGCGGTTATCGGAGGACTGGCGTGGGGGGAGGGGGCGGGAGGCGGAGCCCAGAGCGGAGAAACCCTGGAAAATCACGACCCTGAAATCGAGAAGGCAAAACTGCTCCTGTTCTGCAGGATAATGCAGTCTAACGCTAGGCCTGGAGGTTAAAGAGTAAAAAATAGGGGAGTGACACTAAATCGACTGGCTAAAATCCCCCATGCTGCGACTGATCCAGCATTCGGTAGAAGTACCCCTTCTCACCAATTCCCACCCACTCCCTCTCCCCCGCCCCCCGCCGCCTCCCCTCGCCTCCCGCTAGGGTGCAGAAGAAGGGGTGTGGCGGTGTTCTGGGAGAAATGGCGGCTGGGGGCGGGGCAAAGAGGAAGGAGGGGTTGAATGCCTGGGGAGCCTGCGCAAGAGGGGGAATTGGGGGTGGGATAGGAAGAATAGAGGAAACGAGGGAATTGAGAGGTAGAATTGTTGAACATTTTGGTGTGCGAATAATACTGAAAGGCGATTAATAGAAATCTTGTTTTGGGTGCTGATCCATCCACCAGGCTTTCAGTCTCCAACGTCTGCAGTCTGTATTTCTGCCCTTTAGTCTGTCTTTGCCTGAAGCTCTAACTAAACCGAAGGAAGAAGCAACCTTGAAACCTCCGAGGTCAGTGTTGAGGGTGGCAACTGTCTGGGGACCATGGTGTGGGTGTGGCAGAAATCAGAGCAGAGTAAGACCATAGCTCCTCCTCCTGCATCTTCTCTCCTGAAAAGGTACCCCTTGCCTAGGCCAGTACTTTTTGGTGCAGAGGAAGGGGCGTGGCATTCACCTTAGTTAATAGTTTAAGGAGAAAAGGCTAGAGAGGAAAAAGAGGAACCTTAGTGGGGGGGAAGGGGAGGGATTTTGATCCACAAGAATACAAATCATGAAGGGAACCAGAATATGTTCACCAAAGACTCAAAAAAAGCCTTTTGTTATCTGTCTGCAGGTCCATTTGCCTCTTAGGCTCTGTGCAACTGCAGGTCCAGTGGAAAACAGCTAACTGCTTCTCATCCCAGGAAGGTGGTATGTGTACCATCTAGGCACCTACACGGGTGGGGGTGGGAACATCAGGACTGAATCTGAGAGTTCTCACTCTCCACTAGTCTTCATACTGCCTCTCATCAAGGGTCAAGGAAATTCTGTTGTCACTGAGAGGGTAAGCTAGGGTGAAGATAGGACCTGTTCTCTAAATCAGCAAACACAGGCCTTGGCACATGTATTTGGATGCTAGCACACCCACAAAGCGTTGTGCTCCTAAACTCTCTTGTAAGTAGGCCTTTTTAGACACAAAGGGAGCCAGAGCCCTAAACCTCATTTTTTTTATTAAAATTTTTTTATACCTTTATTTTATTTATTTATTTTTATGTGGTGCTGAGGATCAAAACCCAGGGCCTCACACATGCTAGATGTGCACTCTACTGCTGAGCCACAACCCCAGCCCACCCTAATCATTTCTAACATTTACCCCAGGGTTCTGCTCAGCTCACAGCCTCAGCAAAACTCACAAGCCTGAGCTGAAGACCTCACCTTGACGTGCACACATCCCACTTAGGCAAGCCAATTCTACACCCTGGATCAGAGAATCACACCAGCTGCACCATGAGCCGTGTTCGGGATGCTGGCTGTGTAGCTGCAGGGATAGTGATTGGGGCTGGTGCCTGGTACTGCGTCTACAAATACACCAGGGGAAGAGACCAGAAGAAGAAGAGACTGGCCAAGCCCAAGAACCGGGCTGCAGCTGGGACTGGAGCCAGGGCTAAAGCTGGGCTAAGGGCTGGGTTCACTATTGACCTTGGGCCAGGATTCAGTCCCCCAGCTCCAGTCCATACTGGGGCAGAGGACAAGGCTCAGGATGAAGCCTCTGCTCTTGATACTGCAGGAGCTGAGCCAGTGGTCCCAGCTGTGTCTAGCCCCGAGGCTCAGAGTGGGGCAGGAAATCAGGTCCAGGAGACAGATGGAGCTGGGGTTGGGCCTAAGATTGAATCAGTAGTCGTGGCTGCAGCAGCCTCTTCAGTGGCACCACCTCCTATGGTGGCAGAGGCTCCCACAGCTGCAGAGGCCCCTGCAGTGGCAGAAGCTCCCAGCACAGCAGAGGCGTCAAGGGCTTCAGCACCTCCCAGAGTGGCAGTGACTCCTGGGGCAGCAGCACCTCCTGGGGCAGCAGCACCTCCCGGGGCAGCAGTGACTCCTGGGGCGGCAGCAGCACCTCCCAAGGCAGCAGTGACTCCCGGGACAGCAGCAGCACCTCCCAGGGCAGCAGTGACTCCCGGGGCAGCAGCAGCACCTCCCAGGGCAGCAGTGACTCCCGGGGCAGCAGCAGCACCTCCCAGGGCAGCAGTGACTCCCGGGGCAGCAGCAGCACCTCCCAGGGCAGCAGTGACTCCCGGGGCAGCAGCAGCACCTCCCGGGGCAACAGCACCTCCCAGGGCAGCAGCACCTCCCAGGGCTACAGCATCTCCAGGGGCAGCAGCAACTCATGGGGCAGTGGCAGCTCATGGGGGAGCAGCAGCAGCACCTCCTAGAGCAGCAGTGTCTCCTGGTACAGCAGCACCTCCCAGGGCAGCAGCATCTGCTATGGTGGCAGCAGCCTCAGAGGCTGTGGAGGCTCCTGGGGTGGCAGCACCTACTGAGGTAGCCCGGACTTCTGGAATGGCAGCACCTGCAGAGGTGGCCGAGTCTCCTGTGCCCACACTGCCTGCTGGGTCAGCAGCACCTACTGGGGCTGCAGAGGCTCCTGGAACTTCAGGGTCTCCTAGAACAGCAGTAGCTGGCAAGAAAGCAACCCCTGGGGCTCACACTGGGGCTATACCTAAGGCTGCCTCTGCCACTGGAGCTGTGCCCAAAGGTGGAGCCAAGGGTGGAACCCGGTCCCGGACTGGAGGCAAAGGCAAGAGCAAGAAAAGCAAGGTTGAAGTAGATGAGTTGGGAATGGGATTCCGCCCTGGGGATGGGGCTGCAGCTGCTGCTGCAGCCTCCGCTAATGGGGGAGAGGCTTTCCTAGCAGAGGTCCCTGACTCTGAGGAAGGGGAATCTGGGTGGACTGACACAGAGTCGGATTTGGATTCTGAACCAGAAACCCAGCGCAGAGGGAGAGGGAAAAAACCTGTTCCCATGCAGAAGCGCCCCTTTCCTTATGAAATTGATGAGATTCTGGGTGTCCGAGATCTCAGGAAAGTACTTGCCTTGCTTCAGAAATCAGATGATCCCTTCATTCAACAGGTAGCTTTGCTCACCTTGAGCAACAATGCCAATTATTCATGTAACCAAGAGACGATTCGCAAATTGGGAGGCCTCCCAATTATTGCAAACATGATCAACAAAACTGATCCCCACATTAAAGAAAAAGCCTTAATGGCCATGAATAACCTGAGTGAAAATTATGAAAACCAGGGCCGTCTTCAGGTATACATGAACAAAGTAATGGATGATATTATGGCCTCTAACCTGAACTCAGCAGTACAGGTAGTTGGACTAAAATTTTTAACGAACATGACTATTACCAATGACTACCAGCACCTGCTTGTCAATTCCATTGCAAACTTTTTCCGTTTGTTATCTCAGGGAGGTGGGAAAATCAAGGTTGAGATTTTGAAAATACTTTCCAATTTTGCTGAAAATCCAGATATGCTTAAAAAACTTCTCAGTACCCAAGTGCCATCATCATTTAGTTCCCTGTATAATTCTTACGTGGAATCAGAAATTCTTATCAATGCCCTTACTCTATTTGAGATTATCTATGACAATCTCAGAGCAGAAGTGTTCAACTACAGAGAATTCAACAAAGGTTCCCTTTTTTACTTATGCACTACATCTGGAGTGTGCGTTAAGAAAATTCGAGCCTTAGCAAATCACCATGACCTCTTGGTAAAAGTGAAAGTTATAAAACTGGTGAACAAATTTTGATTGTTGTGTGCTCTCAAAAGACTTGAAATTCCTTGTTCTTGTAGTCTGGAAGCATTGAAAATTGAAAGTTACTGCTTTTCCATTTGCTTGTATAGTAAAGGGATCCTTTCAGCTGCCAGTTTTGAATAATCATCCAGAGTGATCTTATCTGTGACAGTCATTTATGAATACCAAATAGTCCTCTTGTACTGAAAATACATTTGTGATTTTAATCGTGCTGCTTAGATGGAATATTTTTACTGGTTCTTCTATGTGACTTGACAGTGAATCTGTCCATCGTGAATGGCCTACTCTGCTATTATTTGTTTTGACTTGAATTTATCCACCAAAGACTTCATTTGTGTATCATCAATAAAGTTGTATGTTTTAAATGACAAGAAATTGTCTTCATGCTTTAATTTGAAATCTAGCTGAAGAGATAAGGGACATGAAAACAAAAGGATTACTAACAGTACATGAGCATGTGCTTATTATCAAATATATGCTCTCTGGTTAAATAAAGCAGAGCTTGCTGAGGAAAGCTTCCATGAGCCAGGGTACATATAAACTAGGTTGGAAGGGCAGTCCAGGAGGGGAAATGGTTTGAAGAAAGGCATGGAAGTGGGAAATCCATTCCTGCAATAGGAAGAAAGCTAGTTTGCCTGGAATAGAAGTGATGGGAAGAGGAACAACAAGAGTTTAAGGTGAGGAAATTTTAAATAAATCTTGACCCTTAAACTGAGATATTGAAATGTTCTGTCATATTCTGGGAGACACTGGACATTGTTGACAAAAGGAACAATCATTTGGCAGCAATGTGCAAGATGGATTGGACATGGCATGGGGTTGGGGTGGAGACTGGAAATGAGAACATTTGTTACAAAGTTATAATCCAAGCATGACATGATGAAGGGTGAAATGGGATTATGGCTAAAGGAAATATTAAATATGTTAACTATAAGAGACTTATAAAAATAAAAAAGAGCCGAGATCTGCCATATGCCACCTATCTATATGATCTGATGCTGGTCCTGACAGCATTGCCCTTTTTCTTGGGCAAATGTAAAGATTGTTTAATGACAAAAGGAATTCCCATTTTGGATGAGAAAAAAAAAAAAGTGTGTCCAGGCACAGTGGTGCACGCCTGTAATTCAGCAGCTCAGGAGGGAGGCTGAGGCAGGAGGATTACAAGTTCAAAGCCAGCCTCAGCAATGGCTAGGTGCTAAGCAACTCAGTGAGACCCTGTCTCTAACTAAAATACAAAATAAGGCTGGGGATGTGGCTCAGTGGTTGAGTGCCCCTGAGTGCAATCCCCAATAAAAAAAAAAAAAAAAAAAAAAAAAAAAAAAAAAAAGCAATGTGGCAGAAAGAATGACTATTGGTATAGACCAGTGGTTGATTTCCTAAGGGTAGAGGTCTAGGTCTGCATTCCTTTGGAAGAGAAGTAATGGTAAGATCTTTTGGGGAGCCCCACCACCACTCCTCATTTCACCTAAGAGCAAGTACACCTTCCTTCTCCCCCGGCCTCCCTGCAACCTGCCCACTGAAGAAATGAAAACAGAAAATGATAAGGGTCTGAGAGATTTTTCCGAACTCAGCATTCTTTTCTCACATTGAATATAATGTAACTATTAAAACTATTATACATCATGGAGACTATGGTTAATAACAGTATATTATATGTTTGAATATTGCTGTGAGAGTAGATTCTATAACCACAAAATGATCACCATGTAAGGTAATGCATATAAGTAGGCTGATTTAACCATTCCATAATGTATACATATATCAAAACATTCTATTGTTCCCAAAAAATGTGTAAAATATTTATTTTTTAATTAAAAATAAATTTTAAAAATTATGATGTACTTCTGCCAGGCCCGATAGTCCATGCTTATAATCTCAGTGGCTCAGGAGGCTGAGGTAGAAGGATCACAAGTTCAAAGCCAGCCTCAGCAAAAGCAAGCTGCTAAGCAACTCAGTGAGACCCTGTCTCTAAATAAAACAAAATAGGGTTGGGGATGTGGCTCAGTGGTCGAGTGTCCCTGAGTTCAATCCCCGGTACCCAACATAGAAAAAAATTATGATGTACTTCTGTATTTACAAAAAAAGACATTCACCATATATCAGGGCCTATGGTATCAGTTTAAAAAGTTCACAGAATTGAAACTGGGTGAAAATTTTTTCAGATGTTTATAATGTATGCCTCTGTATTTTTTACATACAATTTGGATTACATTGTATATCAGTGGTTCTCAATGCGTAGCTCATGGACTATTGCAAGTCTCTAAAACAGTAAGATATAAACTACATACAAAATAATACTAGCATGTCATTAGATGTTCTCACAGGGTTTACACTTACACCAATGGTACAAAACAATGATGGGTAAAACTGTTGGTGCCTTAGCATGGATCAAGGCAGTGTCCTGAAACTACTAGAAGTGATTTTATTTTTTATAGTCACACACTCAATTTTTAAAGATCGAGATTCATTTTAAAATGTTTAAATGAAGTTCTTATTCATGATAAAATTATCGTTACTATGGTAACAAGATGACTCTAGATGAGGTTAGACTCAAGATTTCTTAAATTCTTTTTTTTTTAATCTTATTTTTTTTTTGGTGGGGTTCTTTTTTTGGTCTTTTTTGGAACTGGGGGTCGAACCCAGGGCTTTGCGAATGCAAGGCAGACGCTTTGCCACTGAGCTACATCCCAGCCCGCGATTTCTTAAATTCTTAATAAGGAGAACCTGAAAATATGTCAGTCCTGGAACATTAATGTCTTCTTCTGGGTGGCATAGAGGTGGAATTTGAGATGATATATTGAAGAAGGATGCATCAGCATCTCTTGGCTTGATTCCAGCTATTGAGATAATCCAACCGTCTTCCTTTACCCTGAATAACAGTGGAAACATATCTTCTTTAGGTGAAACATATTTCCATACAGAGATGTGTTGACTGGCCTTAAGAATGAGCAGAGAATATCACGTGGTAGACAAATATTTCATTCCCTCAAGTCTGGGTTTCTGTGTTTTAAGTCACATCACATGTGATAAATCAACAGCATAGTCCAGGTGTGGCTAAAACTTGAAAGAATAGTTCTTTGAAATATTTAACTTGGTAAAATAATAACAATAGAAACTAAAACTTTGGCGTTAGCTATGTATATTTCTATTCCTGACTCTTGAAACATTCTTTAGACATTCTGTACTATAGTTTGTACCTTTTTTACATTTTGTGTCCAGGTCATGGGTGTGATGGGACAGTTTTCACAACTATATTTGCACTGAATAGTCCTGCTCTCCCTGCTTTGATTTATTGTTCTGCATGAACAATTAGATCAGGAAGAAGTTAAGAATATGACCTCATAAATGCAAGGACTGAGAATACAGGGATATCATTTTAGTGGCAGAGCGCGAGGATGAAGCGATGTAAATCACTGTTCTCAGGGTTCCAAGAGCTGCATTTGTTTCTACCTCCTATCAGTCTAGGTTATTCAACTTTTTTCTTACTGTAAGAAATATCTCAGTATCTTTCCATAAATTCCCTGTTTGCACTTAAGCAAAAGGCTGCAAACTAAGAGTAAGACTACAAATATAATAGTAAATAATAGACTCTCAAGAATATTTGGGTTGAGGTGGTCAAAGTGCAAATGAGATTTTCTTTCATAATCTTGGGTTGAAAATGAATAACCTAGGCAGGTATGACGGCACACACCTGTAATCCCAGCAACTCAGGAGGCTAAGGCAGGAGAATTGCAAGTTCCAAGATAGCCTTGGCAACTTAGCAAGGCCCTATGCAACTTAGCAAGACCCTGTCTCAAAAATAGGAATGTGGCTCATGGTTAAGGGCCCTTAATTTCAATCCCTGGTGCATAAATAAATAAATAAGTGAATAAATAAATAAATAAATAAATGCTTTCCCTCTGACAATATGTTCTCAGAGACAAGGCTGTTGCTCCTTTAAAACAATTTCATGGAGAAGAGGCATATTTCCAAGGACATTGAGCAAATTTCAATGAAAAATATGAATAAGCTTGAATATGGAATTCAATGTAAAAGACAAAACAGAGCAATTAAGGACTCCTACTACAAGAATCCCATTTCACTTAAAGCTGTTAGACTTCTTGAAGAGTGATTTTAAAAATTAACATTGTTGCTTCATTGTAATATTAGTTTAATTCACCACCTTATCATATTTCCTTAGTGAAACTAGGAATGAAGATGATCACAGTAGGTGATTCAGGAAATTCTAAGCCTCTTTGAGCTTTTGAAAAATAATATCCATGTGCCTTATAAGTAAAATAGCAAATTTTCTCACATGAGTCTCATATTATGAAATGTTAAAAAATCTTAGGTTAAGGTGAAAATGCAATATCAGAACAAAAAAGAGTAGAATTGCAGAGTTTGAATGTGTCTGACTTAAGAACATAAGTTTAAATCAGTCCAGATTTATCACAGTTGAAGGTCTCACCTATTATCAATATATTGATAATATATTGATTATACCCAGACTTAAGTTAGACATGAAAGATAAAATTTCAAGAGTTAGAACTAAAATAAAAGAAATAGGTCTAGAAAGAAGATGAGAAATGAGAAAAAGCGAAACCTCTTTGCAAAAGCAAGATAAATAGCACAGAACTCAAATGCATTAGTAATCACAATAAGTGAAAATGCACTAAATTTACCAGTTAAAATATACTACCAAGTTTTTAAAATCCGGATACATGCTAAAGAAAAGCACGTAGAAACATTGGAACCAAAAGGATTGAAAAATTATATCACATAAGCATTATTAAAGAATAGATGAATGGTTAAACAACTGCATTTCACCCATACCATGGAAAACTATTAAGCAATGAAAAGGAATGAACTATTGATACAAACAACAACTTGGACAGATCTCAAGGGCATTGTAATGAGTGGATTAAAAACTTTGAAATGTCACATACTGTACAATTACATTTTAATAATATTCTTTAAATGGGAAAATATGGAGATTCAGAATAGATTAATGATTGCTAGAGGTTAGGGATGGTGGAACAAGGAGTGTGTGTGTCTAGAAAGTTGTAGCACAAAGGAGATCATTGCAGTGATAGACTACATCTGTATCTTGATTGCAGTACTGTGATAAAATAGCATAGAACTATATGCACATTTTGAACTAATGTCAGTTTCCTAATTTTGAAATTGTGGAAGTTATAGAAGATGTAAGCATGGGGGGAAACTGTGTAAAAGGTGCAGAAGATTTCTTTTTACTATTCCCGCAATTCCCTGTAAATACGTATTCAAAATGAAAGTTTTTAAGATGATGATAAAAGTTACAATTCACCAAAA